TTTAACAATTTTACACATCGCGTTTTATTTATCAAACATATTCAAGATTTATCTATAACTGAAAACAGATGATGCCTATGTTAAATACACTCGAAAATAGTGGAAAACGAAAAACGTTTTGATGTTCAAATCAAACGCAGACAATAAAAAACAAAAATACAAAAACATATTTCATTTGAAACGATTTTGAGCAACTAGTAGAGAATACTTCATACACACATACACGCATATATATCTACGATTCTTGGAGATCGGAATCGTTGGATTATTGATTGAAAACAATTTCAAGAAAAAGTACTTAATAAATTAAATTCAATTCAATTAAATTAAACATACAAACGCAATCATAATTGAACTAATTATTTAGATTGATCAGTTATATACAATTAGGCAAATACAATTAAATATATATAAACACACATATACACACATATATATATATATATATATATGTGTGCGCCGATCTCATTAAAATGGACTGAGGCAAATTACCAGAAAACGCGGAAGAGCGTCAAAAATTGCAAAGACCACATAAGGTTAGATTTTTAAAATAAAAAAAAAACTAGTTTAAACTTAAAAATAAAAAGTTAAAAACCAAAAGAAAGATAAACCCGTAACTAAACAAAAACTTAAACCAACATAAGCTAAATTAAAATGTTGTAAAAAAAAATACAAAAAAACAAAACAAAAAAAAACCAAAATCATATCAGATTCTAAAATGATATTAACATTAAATGGACAAAACGTAAACTCAATAAATGAACATTTAAATTCAAATCAAATCTGTTTAACGCTTACTACTTAAATATAGCTGCAGTTCCTTGTCCTACATTTGGCTGTCCATTCTGGGATTTGGAAGAGCTGCCTGATTCCCATGTCGCTGGCGATGCTTGTAAAGCGAGCTGGGATCACGCGTGGAGAACTTGCAATGCTCACACTTCAGCGGCTTTTCGCCCGTGTGCTGGCGCATGTGTATCTGCAAGGGATTGGCAACAATTACTTTAAATTACCATATCAAATTTACATAGATAAGAACAACTATAACAAGGCTTTTCGTTTTCTACATTAATCTGTTTACAATTTGTTCTATTAAAAGTTTAAAGCAACTCGGACAAGACCTAAAAACAAGAATAAAGATTTAGATGCCAAATTGAGCTAGAGGCCAAACCATGAACAAAAAGCTAAACCTCGTGAAAATCGGTTGAGTTTTGACCGAGTTATGGGGTTGGGAAATTTTGACCTCGGTCTATATAGGATATTTGAGGGTACCATTTTCACATGAATTTCGACCAAAAAATAATGATGCCAATTGTGATGCCAAATTGATCTAGATGTCAAGCAATGAACAAAGAGGCAAACCTCGTGAAAATCGGTTGAGTTTTAAGCGATTTATGGGGCTGGGAAATTATGAACTATATCTATATGGAATATTTGAAGGTACCATTTTCACATGAATTTTGGGCCCAGAATAATGTTGCCAGATTTATATGCCAAATTTATATAGAGGCCAAACCATGAAAAAAGAGCTAAAACTCGTGAAAATCGGATAAGATTTGACCGAGTTATGGGGTTGAGAAATTTTGGCCTATGTATGTCCATATAGGATATTTTAGGGTACAATTTTTACATGAATTTCGACCAAAAAATAATGATGCCAATTTTGATGCCAAATTGATCTGAAGACTAAACCATAAACAAAAAACCAAACTTTATGAAAATCGGTTGAGTTTTGGCCGAGTTATGAGGGTGGGAAATTTTGAACTTTGTCTATATAGGATATTTGAGGGTACCATTTTCACAATAATTTTGATACAATCGTTTTCCACATTTGCGGGCGAAATCTGAAATCCCGTCTTAGCAGGCAATTTCACCGCATAAAATACCTTACAGTTAAAAATTTAGCTTTTAGCTATTAAAGTTCGGCCTGTTGTTGATCCTCAATCAGAAAGTAAGTCAATCAGTCAGTCAATCAGTCAGTCAGTTGGTCAATCAGTTAGTCAATCAATCAAGCAGTTAGAACCAATAGATTTATATATAAAAATAAAAGAATTTTGTAGGAAGGCATAAAAGTATTATATATGTATGTGTGTGTATGTGGTCGTATGTGTGTTAGTGTATGCATGCATGTATGTGTGCATTTATGTATATATGTATGCATGCATGTTTGTTTGCAACGCTGTCGCTGTGCTGCAAATTTAAATAAAACGAATTTCTACCAAGTGCTCTCCTCCTCGATTCTCAAGAATTCAAGTAGGCCCCACTGAAATTCAACCAAGCAGGAAACGTTGGCTCCAACGGCCTGTGGAGGAGCAACTGTGGAGGAGGCGGTGGAGGAGGTGGGCGGGTAAGTAGATATGTATATATGTAGATGTATGTATGAAGATTTATGTATGTAGATGTATGTATGTATGTATGTATGTATGTATGTATGTATGTATGTATGTGTGTATGTATGTATGTATGTAAATGTATGTATGTATGTATGTACGTATGTATGTATGTATGTATGTATGTATGTATGTATGTATGTATATATGTATGTATGTATGTAATTATGATTGGATGTATGTATGCCTGCATACATCCATATTAGCATATATGCAAAACAAACATGCATACATGTATGTACAAACAGGCATAAATATATAGGCAAACTTAAAACTAAGCCCAATAAACCTTTGAATCACACTTTCCACCGAGGAAGCTATGATTCTGCGAATAGTGTGAAACACGTCCCATGTGATTTTTCATATAGATTCTTGGAAATGAATTTGAGCGCGAAACATCACCCACCAAGTCTTTGTTCCCATTTCCAACAAGGAGGAATTGATTTTCCAAAATGTGCGAAATACTGTCAAATGAATTTGAACAAAGGTCTTTCCAAATGAGTTTTAGACCGATCGGATGGTAAACAAAAAAGTTTCAAACAATCGTTTTTCGCGATTTCTCCAGACATGCGGGCGGAATTTCCCGAAACCTTCATCACATAAGGTAAGTACAGTGAAAATTTAAACTTTCTAGCTCTTACGCTTTGGGCTGTGCGTTGATAACCAATCAGTCAGTCAGTCAGTCAGGGCAAACAGTTTTATATATAGAGATAGATGTGATGTCTTACTATTAGGCTAGCCTTGCGCGCTGTCTTCTTGCCGCAGACATTGCAAATAAAGGGTTTTATCTTGTTGTGCACAGTCTTCACGTGCTTGGAGAGTGTTTTGCCATTGACGAATTTGCGTTGACAAATCTCGCAGGTTTTCTCCGCATAATATTTGTTCTTCTTGGCTGTGGCAGCCTGTGGCTGAGCTTGCGACGCTGTCGCCTCGCGCTGCTGCTGCTGCTGCTCCTCCTCCTGCTGTTGCTTCTGGGCTCGCCGACGCAGGAGCAGCTCGCGCCGCATGACCCTGGCGCGCCATCGCCTGTGCACACGCATGTGCCGCCAGACGAGCGCCGAGATGGGCGACTTATAGTCGCAGCCGATTGCGGGACATTGCAGCAGATCGACATCCAATTGATGCACCTTCCACAGATGTAGGGAGCAGCGTCGCCAGTTGGGCATATCGGCACCGCACTCGCTGCAACTGAAGCCGGCGTCCTTGTGGCACTTGCCGTGCATTGCCAGCTTTTGGATGTCCTCAAATTTATAGATGCAGGTGCTGCTGGCATCGCAACTTTGTTGGGATTAAACAGTTAAAATTTGGGAATTTTCTTCTTGACAGTCAAAAACTTACGGCAATTGCTGATTTGCATGCAGCACCACCCGAAAGTCTCTAAATGGCAGGTGGTGGCGGCGTCAAGGACTCTTCATTTTGATCCTGAGACTCCGTTTTCTTGGCATTTTGCTTTGGCAACGAGCCTTGCCTGGACGTTGATTTGATTGGCTCACACTTGTGGTATAACATCATGTGGCCACGCAGATCCTCCAGTAAATCATATTGCCGCAAGCACAGACTACACACATAAACAATACGCGGAGGCAGCTCCATTGCAAACAAATAAATTCCTCAAAACTAATTTCAATTGAGCGGCTCGGCAGACAATCATCAGCTGTTTAGTTAACAGTAACGGTAGTAACTTAACATTCTGCTGAAATGTTAATAAGGCGGTGCCAACATTTGGACTTAACAGTTGCATGGAAAGAGACAGAGTTCTCCGACTGACTTGGGCACGTATCGCGCCCTTAATAACAGGGCTGCTTAAAATGTTACATTGACAGGGGATAACAATACCTTACCAGTTCAGCTATTTGTAAATCGCCAAAAAAGCTGCTACGAAAATAAAAAGTATCGCACATCACAGGAAAATAACAAATAATTAAGGCGTAAAGCCTTGCCACCTTTTTGCAATACTGACTGCAGATGGTATTTAAATGCTCTCAGCTTACGGTCACACTGTCAACAGGAAAAACGCGAACGCGTATAAAAAACTAATTTTATAATTTTATTTAATTTATTAGTTCTTAGCGATAAATCAGCAGAACGCAATAGTCTCGGACTGCATAGGCATAACAAATATGGGCAGCGCGCTGGAAAACTATGTGAATCAGGTGCGCACACTAAGCGCAGCGGGTAAGTCTTCTAGGCGCCGGGTATGCAGCGAGCGAACAAAACTGATATAGTTTTTTTTTGTTTTTGATTTTTTTGATTATTTGTTTAAATGCAGGCAGCTACCGGGAGCTGGCCGATGAGTTGCCCGAATCGCTGTCGCTGCTGGTGCGCAACTGGAGCATATTGGACAATGTGCTCGAAACGCTAGACATGCAACAGCACACACTGGGCGTGCTCTATGTGCTGCTCGGTAAACTGCATAGCGCCGCGACCGCAAATCCGGAGCCGGTACAAATCATCCAATTGATGCGCGAATTTGTGCAGCGCAGCAATGTGGAGCAGCTCCGCTTTGCCGTCTGTCCCTGTAAGTGTAGCATGGATCTGTATTCCATATTTTCGGTAGTTCATTTCGTTCCTCCTTCGTGTGCAGTTTACGAGACTTGTCATCTGTTTACGGACTTTGTGGTGCAGAAGAACCTAAGCATTTTGGGCATTAAGGTGCTGTCGCGTGCCATTGAGCAAATTAGACATATGGATACACAGCTAACGCCTATACACGCCGATCTCTGCCAGCTGAGCCTTAAGGCAAAAAACTTTAATCTGATACTGCCCCATCTGGATACGGACATAACAGACATCTCCACCGTTGCCGCCGAGTGCAAGAATCAGCAGCAACAGCAGCCGCAGCATACGCTGGTAGGACATAGCTTTGAATCCTAATTACCTACTCCACATGCTCATCCCTTTTGCTTCTCTCTGCAGGATGCCAACAACGATGCCAAGTACTTTTTGTTGTACTATTATTATGGCGGCATGATCTATACGGCAATTAAGAACTATGAGCGCGCCTTGTATTTCTTTGAGGTGTGCATCACCACGCCCGCCATGGCCATGTCGCACATCATGCTGGAGGCATACAAAAAGTTTCTCATGGTTTCACTCATTGTCGAGGGCAAGGTGCGAAAAATCTGTCAATTGTCAAATTGACTCAATCAAATAATTCCTAATTGATTCCTTTCCTTGCAGATATCGTATATACCAAAGAACGCACAGGTGATTGGGCGTTTTATGAAGCCGCTGGCCAACTATTATCATGATCTGGTCAATGTGTATGAGAACTCGTCAAGCGAGGAGCTGCGCATCATTATACTCAAATACAGTGAAGCATTTACGCGTGATAATAACATGGGCCTGGCCAAGCAGGTGGCGACGTCCCTCTACAAACGCAACATACAGCGTCTGACGAAAACCTTTCTCACGCTCTCCCTGAGCGACGTGGCCAGCCGTGTCCAGCTGCCCAGCGCCGTGGAAGCGGAGCGCTATATATTGAACATGGTTTGTATTGCAGCTGTGCTCATCTTCTCCCAATTATGCTTAATTTAATGTCTTGTGATCAGATCAAATCGGGCGAAATCTTTGCGTGCATCAATCAGAAAGATGGCATGGTGCTCTTCAAGGATGATCCAGAGCAATACAATTTGCCGGACATGTTTCTTAATGTGCAAACGAATATCACGCAGGTGCTCGATTTGGTGAAACAAATCAACAAAATGGAAGAGGAGATCATATTGAATCCCATGGTAAAAACCACAATCAAATATAAGCTGAAATGAATTTATAAACCTTTTTTGTACCCGACTAATGCAGTATGTGAAAAAGGCGCTGGGCAGTCAGGATGAGGACTTGGCGTCACAGCACCCCAAGACCTATTCGGGGTAAGAATCAATGCAAGCCACAAGCAAAAAAACACAACCAATCAAGAAACAAGCAACCAACCAACCAACCAATTCAATTCCATTGACAGCGATCCCACGGATTGATGTGCCAGCGCACAACAAGCAAAAGGAGAAGCAGAAGCAGCAGCCTAAAGAAAAGCGTGCACTGGGCCACAAGCTGCTAAAGAGGAAAACGAAAGAAAGAAAGAAATTATAGATGAAACACGCTATTTTAAATAAAGCCTATGTATAAATCAATGACTAACGCGGCATTTTAATCAATGCCTTCAATTATTATTGATGACATGCCATGCCCACAGATAACCAAGGCGCAAAATCATGATAACGAGGCTTTACGGCGATCATGCGATACAGAAATTGCTTTGCACTTGGGCCAGGGCTACACTTTCAATTAGTATTTAACGATATGTTTTTATTTGTATTTACAATATCAATGTCGGACATAAGACGTTTTATTTAACCCACAATATGGGCTATACGCTATGGCTACAATTAAATGACTAGAATGCCTGACACAAACCCGCCCCGTCATCTGGAATATATATATAAGTACTAGTTTACAGCTAGGCTAAAATGCTATTATTTTTTTTATAAACAGTGGCTTTATGTACAATGTTGCAGCTGCTCTGATCCACAGGCCACAGCGTTGTTGTTGTTGTTGTTGTCGCCGTTGCTGTTGAGATTCTCGCCGAGCAGCGTTGTCGTTGTCGTTGTTGTCGTTAACCGGTTTTCATCACATCCACTTCCAGCATAGCTGTCTTCAGCGAGCTGCTCGACACGCCCACACCAACATCAGCGCCCATGCCGCGATATAGCTTGTGCACCACATTGAATAGTATAAAGCAGACAATCAGCACCAGCAGCGACATAAATACGTAGGCCAGCACCAGCGGTGTATCCGATATGGGATCCAGCATTATGTTGTTCAGAGAGTTTCAATAAGTTTGTATTTGTTATTTGGAATTGTAATGTATTGTTCGGAGACAGGCCAAGCAGAGAGAGAGCGAAAGAGTATGTGTGAGTGCGTCGAACCGAAACAGAACTGAAGTGAAACGCGTATGCTAATTAAATGTCGCACACATATGTATATCTATATATATGTATGTAAATTTATATATTTTATTCACACGTATATGCGTAGATATCTTTCCGTACCGTGTGCATTGACACCTGTGCCTGAACTGAGGCCAGAAACTGGCGTGCCGCGACTCGACTTCGAATAGAACTTTGCGTTACGTATACGCCGCGTAGCCCGCGTTCGCTCTATGATAAGCATTCTGTTGTGTAGAAACTCGTTTATTGGCTTCTCCGAATATCCAATGTGTGAGTGGGGCCAAACCGCCTGCTACATTAACCAGGGTCAGGTCGAAGTGGTTTGCATCCACATCGTGCTATAAAAATATTGAATATATGTATATATATTTTACACTAGAAAACTAGCTAGAGAGAAAAGTGTGCTCGAAGTGCAGATACTCTATGCCCAGGTCCAAAGTGCCCCAAAAAAAAAAATTCTAATAGTTGTTTTAATTAAGTCTATAAAAAAATGTGCTGAGTCAGCGCGAATCTGTTGTAGAGATACTCTCTCTCTTCGCTGGTCCAAAGTGCCCTAGATTTAATTTTTCTCTTTTTTTCTTTTACGTATATTTCAATTTGTAAATGCAGCGCGATATTTATAGAAAGAGAGCTATTTAAAATTCGGCTTATGTGGCTGACAAAATATGTCCAAGTGCAGCACCATAATTAGAACCACCAAAAAAAAAGAGAGAGCTGCGTGGGGGGTGTCGAAGCTAAGATACCCTAACATTTGACGAGCTGTTTCTATTAGAGCTATATATATCCTATAATATAATAAAATATACATATATCACATAATATAATATAATATAATATCTATATCATATAATAGTTCGATTTTGAGAAGACTTTCGACATTTTTTAGGAGCATGTAAAACCAAGTTGAGTCGAGATATATCATAAAAGTAGTTTTTCAGGCGGGAACTCAATAGTTGTCATCATAAAGTTGATCCGATAAGAACGTAATATCCTAATTTTATAGATCATAAAGGTTTTAAGCAACTGTCTCCAGCTCCTCTAATCGCCGAGTTCCATCAGATATTCAAAGATCTAAGATATACATAAATACAATTTGGAGTTCATATATATACAAATACCCAGCATTATAATACCCTTCCGAGCCATTTCTCTAACTACAGGGTATGCGTATGGCGTACATTCATTGAATGCCAAACATATTCATTGATTCAGCCAATCAAGCAATTAAATCTACGTTGTTTTTTCTCCCTTTTTTTTTATTTCGCTTTATTAAATGAGTCGAGAATAAAAATGCCAGCTGACAATAAAATTGGAATAGCGTCGAAAAAAATTGGCGGCTTGTGCCGATCTAATTGCCGGACGGGGGTCGTCGTCGGCGTGATTCGACCAAATCTCTTGACTCTTATCTGAGCGACTGATAAAAATGTTTAATTCAGATAAGAAATGGAATTTTTTGTTCGAGTTGTACCCATAAAATGTAACGTACGATTGTCATGCGGGTTTTTTTTCACGTTTCCCAGTTGATGGAAAATATATTTTCCAAAAAAAAAGTAGAGTAAGGCACATTTCCTTGTGCTCTCAAAAAGCGAGATGCTGGCTCGAACCTTGAATCGAACCACTAAAGGAGAGACGCTGGCTCGAACCCTGAGTCGAACCACCGAAGGCGAGACGCTGGCTCGAACCCTGCACCAAACCACTGTAATAAAAAGCGCTGGCTCAATGCGCTCTGGACAACGTTTGAAACTGGTTTAACGGGGGGCATGACCGTAAGCCATGCCGAGAATATATTTATCATTTACAACAACACACACAATATATGGAGAAAACGAGTTCTACAAAAATAAAGTCCTAATTATGAGTACATGCGAACCACAGTGCAGCTGCCTCCCTCTCTCTCTCTCTCTCTCTCTCTCTCTCACTCTCTCTCTGTGTCTGTTAGTCGACTTTTTCGGGACGGCGTATTGCAAGCGGACGCATTGTCCGAGCAGCGTGTCTCCATGACATCCTTGATGACATCGTCCAGCACGAATCGCATATTCTTGCGCTCATTGCAGCGCAACAGGACCTTGAGACGCGGCACACTGGCCAGATCATCGTAATACTTGAACACACGAACATTGCTAACGGCCTGGACGTCCAGCATGGTGCACTTGATTTCGGTGTCGCTGCAATTGCACAGGCAGCTAATCGCCCGCTGGTTCGGATCCGAGTAGATGTCCAGCGCGACGCTGATCAGAAAGCACGGCTCCAAAGTCAGCGTGATGCGCACTGCGTGGCAGCCAATTGAGCCGGGCCTGGACTCGAATATATGATACTACTTACCCACCGGCGAGTCAAAGATCGTCGAACGATTCTGTATCCACACGGAGCGCGAGCTCATCTGGGCGCCAAAGTGTTCCAGGCGTGAGAAATCACGCGAATGTTCGCGCAACGCCACCGAGGATCGGGAGCCAGGCGCTGCCGGCAACGGCAGATTATCATAGATGGATATATAGATCTTATGGCTGACATAGGCCACGATGAAGAACAGTATGATCAGTATGAGCAGGAACACAATGTAGGTGAATAGTGTGGGTAACCAAATGATGGCGTCCAGCAACATTAGAACAGAGGGCTGCTTGGGTTCTCGTCACAACAAATATTTATTTCATATTTTATATACCCTCGAATAGGGTATCATATTTCTGTCATCAAATGTGTAACGCATCGAAGGAGACGTCCCAATCCTGATAAGTATTGTTGCGGATCAACAGTCGAGTCGGTTTAGCCATATCTAGATGCCTTCTTCTATGCAACCTTTACTCTGTCTTAAAACTGACATCATACTAAGATGTGAGCAAAATCTTTACCTAAGAAGAGAACAGGATATATATATATATATATCCTCCTATAAAAGGAACAATCGCTTTGAAATAAAGCTTTTCTACAAAGGCAGTTCGTCATCATTTCATTTTCCGGATAGAACCTCGTTTTTTCTTGTTTATCATAAAAAGAAAAGGAGCCAACCCCCTCCCCCATACTAACCACCCCCCCCCCCCTCAAATATCGCTTTGTTTTGCAACATCTATGTAAATGTATTTATTACAGCTTTTTGTTTTTGCTCGTTTTTTGTTAGATTTTTTGTTTTTGTTTTTCTTTTCTTTTTATAGTACATACGATTTTACATTGATAATATTATTATTTTTAAATTGTATGCGCTCTCTCGCTCTCGCTCTCGCTCAGGCGCAGCTGCGTAACGGCACTCCTTTTTGGAAATTTCATAGCATTTAGCTTTTCGTCGCTCGCTTGCAAATCGCCGCTCTCTTCTTTAGTCTAAACCCGCCGGCGGGTACACTCGCACGCGCTCTCTGGCGCGGGGGCGTGGCCTGCACACTGCGCAAACCGCCTAAAAACAAACGAATCCCCAGCTGCATCTGTGTGCGTCTGTGTGTGTGCATATTACACTCACACACAACTGCAGACACGACGCGCTGTGTTCAAGCCTTAGTTAAATTAATTCTTTTTTTCTTTTTTCATTAATTTACAATTTCTTGTTTTTTTTTGTGTGTTTTGGTGGCAGTTGTTAGAAAAATGCCATTTGGTTATGCGGCGTGTGTTTAACAGAGTATAACAGTTTAAATATGTATGGTGTGCTTTGTTTGTATAACAGTTGAAAGACAAGACAATTAGTTATCAAAAACACAATAAATGACAAACATATTCAATTTCTTTTTAATCAATAAAAAATGTGTTTGTTTTTGATTTGACTTCAATGTGATTTTTTTTTAAACAATAATTATTAATTTAAACAATCTGTTTTTCCGCTCGCTTTCCTTCAGCACAAACAAATTACGGAAAACTAAAGTTTAGACAATTTGTTGATATTTTTTTTAAACTCAGCATGTGTGTGTGTGTGTGTGTGTTAGAGCTTAACTTTATAGATAATATGTTTATGTTTTATATTTGATTTTTGAATTTTAGGTATTTCTTTTTTTTTTTTGCTGTAAAAAACATTCAGATCTCCAATGAATATTTAAATGAAATGTTTTTTATTTTGGTTTTTTTGCTGGCAGCATGTTCCTTCATAAAGAAATTCTGTATATATATATATATATTTATATATACATGTGTGTGTGTGTGTGTGTGTGTATATATATATCAACCAGTACTCGTAGAAAAGTGTTATATGAAATGCGTTTCTATATATTTCTTTGTTTTGTTTTTCCATTTTCTTTTTGGACAGTTTGAAAAGCTCCGTGCGCCGAGTTGCGGGTGGATTTTATTTTTTTGGGTCTTGTTTTTTTTTTTTGTTAATTTTTGGTTGGGAACATGCCGCAACTTTTACACAAATTAACACACACATTACACAAATACATATGTAACTTTCAGCACAACATACAGAATTCATATACGTAAAATTAACATATTGGTATTTGGCGCACCCCTCCCCTCCCCCCCCCGCCTCCTTTCCCTTTCCTCCCCTGCCGCCTTCCGCAAGCCCGCCCCATTTGCACGTTCCACACAGCTGAGCTCAACTCAATCTGAATTCTAGCAACTTTTTAAAATGGGGCTTTACATAGGTTTCGCTTTTATACATTTAAGTTTTGGTTTTTCATTTTTTAATTTGTTTTGTTTTAGTTTTAAGTTTAGTTTGTTTGTGGTTGTTGTTGTTGTTGTTGTTGTTGGCATGCGAGCTGCGTTGTTGTTGTTGTTCTACTTCTTCTTCTTCTTGATGTGGTGTGTGTGTGTGTGTGTGCCTTTTGTTGTTGTTGTTGCTGTTGCTGTTGTCGACTTAGACAGACAGTGAAACGAAACTGTTATACTGCGTTATGTTGCGCTTGAGAATATCCGCGCAGGGGCCCAAAACGCGTTCAAATCTGTGAAAATAAAACAAATTAATGAGGAAATAGAAATATATAAATTTGATTGTCAAGTCTTAACCGTGTCAGTTGATTTACTTTCAATTTTAGCTGTAAGTTTTTCACCCTTTTTCCGATCGTGAAACAGTTTAAGTTTAATGTTTCTTATTGTGGTTTCTTTATTAAGAAATTCTGCTAAAATTCTCTTCTCGACTCAAATGCATCGATTTTCAACTATCATCCGTAAAAATTTAAAATTTAAAATTAGGTTCATAGCTAAATCAACAAAAATTATACTTTTTCTTTGGACACAACCTTGCCATTTATCACCTAGTGTCTATTGGATTTTCACAAAGATCCTTACAATTATTTATGAGTATTATCGAATGAAACATAAAATATATTTATCAAGTCCCTTTGTAACAACTTTCCTCCCTTGTGCTAGGAGTTTTCCAATGCACCCTTCCAATGCGTTTACTTTACATAACTTAAGTTAACTTCTCTAAAAATGGCTGCTTCTTAGCTCCAATCGTTTGATCTATACGTTCTCCTTCAATCAGTTAGTCAATCAGTTGGTTAAATCAGTTGGTCAATTCAGTTATTCAATCGTGTTTACCTCGCTCTGTCCAGCTTGACACATTTGAGCGGGCCGCGTGCCACAACAGTTGCCGCGCGTGGCCGATCCAGGAGCAGGGCAATCTCACCAAAGTAATCGCTGGAGCCCAGGCGACCCACCTCGGCGGGCTCTTCGCCCTGCTAGAGTAAAGACAATGGATTAATGTTTGTTTTTTATTTATACATATATTGTATAGGATTGATTGCACTCACCTCGGAGCGCTGCTGAAGGACAACGGCGCAGCCCTCGAGAATAATGTAAAAGTCATCGCCAGCCGCGCCCTGTTTCACAATTGTCTCGCCATCCTCAAAGGAGCAGGTCTCCAGTGAATCAGCGACGGTTAGGCGCTCCCACTTGTCGAGGCTCTCCAGTATGGAGACACGCGACAGGAACTCCTCATACATTTTGCGCTTACGTATGGTTGAGCCCATGAGGATGCGTCTGTACGAGTCACGATCGATGCCCCACAGCTTCACATCGCTTTTGGCGCGCACCGTGGCGGCGCGCGGTGTTCCATAGATGAGGGCCAGCTCACCGAAGCTGCCGCCCTCACTGATCGTGGTCACCAGTTCAGAGTTGACAAAAACCTATAAAGATGTCGTATATAGTTTGTAAATGGGGGGAATTCTCTGTTAGGCAGAGCTTGGATTTGGCTACTCACGTCCACCTCACCCACATCGATGACATAGAAATTGTCGCCCTCGTCGCCCTGCTGTATGATATTCTCGCCCGCCGTATGGGTAACAGGAAACATGGCGTCGAATATATCAGAGCGTTCGCTCTCATCCAGATGAGCGAAGAGCACATTTTTGGCTATGGCCTTGGACAGGGCATTCATTGTCTTGTAATCCTTCGGTACGACCTTCTTAACATAGTTGGCGGCGTCCTCTTCGGTCACGGGCTCGGCGGAGATGCCGCCGCGCCTGCGAACGGGTGGTGCAGCTGTTTGTGGCATTGGACTGAGATCCTCACAATCGTCTGGGCTGATTACCTGTTTACTGGCATCCAGTTTGACTTGTTCCTGCAATCAAATGATTCAAATTTCATTAGTATAACAGTTTTGTATAACAGTATCACCATTTTGAATAACACTATAACAGTTTAATCAAGAGTACAACAGTTTATAGAACAGTTTTTACAAAAATATATTAGTTTATTGGTTCAAACAAAAGTATAACAGTGTATACAACAGCATAGGGGTTTGTATACATCAGTATAACAGTTGGTATAACAGAGCAGCGGGTTTTCGTAATAAGCAATTGATATGATAAGCCAACTTTCACATCATTAGAGATGATTGAAATTTCATTAGTATAACAGTTTTATATAGCAGTATCACCATTTTGCAAATCATTATAAAAGTTCACTCAAGAGTAAAACAGTTTATATAAAAACATATTAGTTTATAAACTGCATTTATCAAAAAAGGTATAACAGTGTATACAACAGCATAGGGGCTGGTATGCATTAGTATAACAGTTGTTATAACAGCGCAACGGTTTTTCATAATAAGCAATTTATATGATAAGCCCGCATTCAGCGCCTGCACACGCAAAACGTTCATTAAAACTGTAATAGAAGCTTTTTGCACTCAGCCACGCCCCTGGACGGACGCCCGCCCGCCCACCAGCTGCACCAGCTGCACCAACAGCAACTCCGGCAATGTGCGTCATCTGGGATGGATGCTGACTTTTGTTTGCTGTATATGTCAAAAGTCAGCTCTCCACGTAGGCGGTAACTAAAGCTTCAGCATTGCTTCAGCTGCCCGTTTATCTATTTTTGGCAGCTCAAAGTTTCGTTTCGGGGACGACACATAGAAAACTGGACAAAAAAGAAAAAAACACGCAACTGTGTTTAAGCTCGTCCGCGTTTCACGGTCCGCACTGCCCCGCCCAACAGCTGCAGCTAGTTAATTGCATTTGTGAATTGCACTCGGATAAAAAATAAAATCGTAATGCCCATCTCGGTAGCTTTTAATAACTGGTGACGTCAATGTGAATAGACTTGCCACAACTCTGGTTGCACAGCGAATAGATTGAGTTGCATTCAAATGTCACTCGAGTGTGTTTGGCATTGGAACAGCATTTGCATCGGTCGTAGAACAGTTTAGGCGACAATTAGGGGGAAACATCTGTTATATGAGCATTGTGTAAGCTTAATGTACTGATTTGTATAACAGCAGATATTTGTCAGACTTGAGTATAACAGTGCAGCAGTTAATTAAAATAGAATACATCTAGTGCAACAGAAAACTATATTATAAAACTGTTGTATAACAGTATAACAGTTAATTATAACAAATTGAAACGAGTGGAATGCAAATGATACTCATGTCTAACGATACTACAGTTGGGTATGACAGTTGGGTATGACAGTTGTGTATAACAGTATATCAGTTGTTCGCATTGTTTAAACTTGATAGTCTGAAGAGTTCTGTAGAACAGTTGTATACAACCAGTATGCCAGTTGCAGGGCACGTAGTTGGGGCTATAATCAATTATAACTAAAAGAAATTTGGTATAATAATTGTATAACAGTTTAAATGCATTAAACTGTTATACAACACTTGTAGCACCCTTGTTTACAGCACTCAATTACAAATAGGTGCTTAAAATAGCAATTGTCGGGCTATAACTGTTATTTAAGGCAAGATATAACATTTATTATCTACTTGGGCTCTTTACAAGTTGTTTATAACAGTTTAGCTTATCTGAAATGTAGTGTAGTTTTCACGAGCCCCACCCAAATCAACTTAAAATAAACAAAGCCATTTCGATGTCAATAAACAACCGGCAAGAAAACACAAAATGGGCAAAATGAATCAACTTTTATGATCTAAACAAAAGGCGTTTGAAGAATCACATAAAAATCATATGAAAAAGCCACGAATCTAATCAATTTGTAGTGTAAACAAAGCGCAATTGGAAAAACGAATGCCAGCAAATTGTTAGATGATCATGGAATGGCGCTGATAAGGATGTTGTTGTTTAGGCCAAGAAAAACGCAACGACAAATATGAACGACTGCGAAATACTCTGTTTACGAAGTGAAAAAGCAGATCTCGTGGAGAGTTTTCTTTTTAGAGTATAAGAGCTATACATATAAATATTTTTAAATATTTTTAATTATATGTAAATATGTTTAATTATATGTAAATAATTTAATTACATATATAAATATTTTTAAATTTATATAAATATTTTAAATTATATATAAATATTTTTAATTATATACAAATATTTTTAATTGCATATAAATATTTTTATTTATATATACAAATTTTTTATTTATATATATAAATACTTTTAATTACATATATAAATATTTTTAAATTTATATAAATATTTTTAATTATATATAAATATTTTTAATTATATACAATTATTTTTAATTATATATAAATATTTTTAATTATATATAAATACTTTTAATTATATATAAATACTTTTAATTAATTTTAAATATATGAAAAGTTGCAAGTCTTAAGCCTGCTTTCAAGCTGTCTCTCAGCTAGACGAATATTGCACAAAACTGACATACTCTTTTCGACGTTCTGAACAGAGTATAATGAGCACTCTTGGGCCGTTTGCCAGCTGAGATGGGAGATGTCGCAGGCGCCGCCCCGTCAGCAGCTGCAGCCGAATAAATCAATCAACGCGCGCGACTCGCATACAAATGCCACAAAATGAGGCACATTAACAAAGTCGCCTGTTGACTCCAACTCTCTCTCTCTCTCTCGCTTCGTTCCTCAACTCTCTCCATTTCGCACTATAAAGAAGAAAAACTGCAACTTTTTTTATGGCCATGGCCAGGGCCTGGGCCAGTGCCAGGGCTGGGCACACACGGCGTATGACCGTGACCTTTGTGCTGCAGCGGAGTCGGCGCCGAGCCAACTGGCCATGGCCCTGGCCCTGGCCCTGAAGCTTCACAGTTGCAGGCCCCACTCTCTCTCCAACTTTCTCTCTCTACCCCTCTCTCTGCTCCTCCCCTCTCTGCTGCTCTTTGCAATTTCCATTTGCGCTTCGTTTAGTTTTTCAGCTTTTGGCGACATTTTAAACGGAAATCGATTTCGTATTGCAAATTAAGTTACTGACGCAAACTAAATTGCAAATGTCTGTGTGAGTGCGTGTGTGTGCGTGTGTGTTTGGACATGATTGGGGGTGTAATCTAGAATCGTCGCACTTTAAAAAAGAGAACCCCATAAAATACGTCATGTCAGTATGACAACACATTAAGGCGCTCAGAAAACATTTGCCAGCTGATTAAATGAATTGGCAGGTAGATTGTAAACTGGACTTGGACTCGTTTAACAAGCGACAATCATTTGTAACAATTGCTGCAGTCTGACGTTGCACTGAGAGAAAATAGTGTTGAAAACAGAATTACAAAGATTTTTCAATTCTCTTTTCTGTTAATAACTTTCTATGGGATCTGGTATAAAGTTAGATAGTTAAAGGAAGTTATCTTCAAGTTACAGAAGATTAAATATCTTATTTCTGTACTTATAACAACAATATTTTTCGCTGCACTGAGAGAAATTAGTGTAGGAAATAGTGTAGCCGAAAAGCAAGCAGACTTAAAAAGGTTTTTTAAATGTATTTTTTTGTTAATGAATTTCTATGGGATCTGGCATAAAGTTGGATAGTTAAAAGAAGTTATCTTTAAGGTAGATAAGTTAGAAATATCACATTTCTATAATTATGCCAAGAATATTTTACTGGAATTCTTGTAAATAGCAAACTATGCTGTATTTTTAAATGTCTATAGGCTATATCTAAACACATAAATTAATTTTGAAGACATTAGCCCTAAAAGAAGCTGAGTTGAGGCTAGTTCTGCTCTGCTGATCTAATAAAATCTCATTGAAACTATATCTATAAATATCTATAAATTAAATTTGAAGACCTTAGTCATAAAAGTCTTCGAGTTCTAAGAGACTACCCCTGCGGAACTACAATCTATTCAATGATTCATAAAATTCCATTAAGTACAAGCTCACACGGATTAGTCTTTTAATATTCCAACTAGAGAAGCGAAATTTCCAATTAGATTCAAGTTGTTTGCTCGATTTGAGCACGTTCCCAACTTTTTCTAGCCGTGTAGAATAAATCAATGCCAATGTGCCATAAGAGAAGCATTTTTACGAGGCGATAACAACAGCAACAAATGCGTGACTATTTCAGCTTTTTAGCTTGAAAAAGTCCGTGGAGCATCCACTCAAAGAATTTTGTATTGAAAATGTGCAATCAAAATCGTGTGAATGCGTAACGAATGAGGCGGGTGAATGTGTGAGTGTGTGAGTGTCTGAGTGAATGCAATGAATGCTTATTCAATAATAATAATAAAAAACTACAAGCTAAGGCAACTAGAAAAAAGCAGCTGAGTTTAAGCTTCAGAGACGAAGGCATTTGCAAACCTTTGACATATTTTAGCTTTCAGCAGCTACAGATGTGTCTGTGTCTGTGCGTGTGTGTGTGTGCGTGTGTGTGTGTGCGTGTGTGTGTTTGTTGTGTGTAATTGCAACAAGTGCTGTTTATGGAGAGAAAAAACAACAAATAAATAACAACAATAATCAGTTGAAAACGCGACGCGACAACGTGAGAAGCGAAACAAACAACGGGCCACAAATAAATTCCACTTTGGATAGAATTTTTCTATTTTTTCTATTTTTCTATTTTTTTATAATATATTCCTCTCCGAGTTTGTCGCCGTGCACAGTTTCCACTAATGGATAATTTTCACAAGTTTTCGTTGTTTAAAGACGGCAAAACATAGCGAAAAAAAAAAAAAAATGAGATAAAATTTATTACGTATACGTAATAACGCATAACAACAACAACAACAACAATGAGCAATGACAAATCCAATGTCAAAGTTTTATAAAAATAAATATTGAAAAAAAAAATATTTTCTAGCCCAGCGCGAAAATTTCTCAAACTAAAGGTGAGCGAAAATTTAAATTTTGAAATTTCTCAAACTAAAAGGTGAGCGAAAATTCATAAAATAAAAGAAAATTGTGAG